AATTCCATGTTTTTAAATATTTTTATTTTTAATTAAAAATAAATTTTTAACATCGAAAATAAATTTCAAAATTTGTGATATCAGCGCTTAAACTCGAAATTGCAATTCATATGCCATTTGCGCACAAACACGCGGCAGGCGCTACTACATATATACATACAGTACATTATCTAGATGAAATAATGCCGATAAGCTGAGTGTGAGGTGAATACTTAGCACGGCGCCGGTTATCATGTAGTTAGCGAAACGAGTCGAGTGATGAGCGCATAGATTTAAAAATAACGATTTTGATAGGAGTTTACGATAAGCGCCCATATTTCACACACTATCTTTGCTTGCACACACACACACGTGCGCGCATACGTTAATTATGACTCCACCCATTGATTGGCTCACCTATGCAAACTATTTCAATTAACGAATAACCAAAAATAACCAAAAATAACAAAATGTGCTAATTGCCGCTATTTCTTTCTTTCCTTCTTCACAGAGGAAGCACGCAAGACCGGCTCCCGCGTACTGCTGCATTGTCATGCGGGCATATCGCGCAGCGCCACCATTGCCATTGCCTACGTTATGCGCTACAAATCACTATCACTATTCGAGGCCTACAAGCTGGTGAAGGGGGCGCGACCCATTATCTCACCCAACCTCAACTTCATGGGTCAACTGCTCGAATTAGAACAAAATTTGCGCATGAGCGGCGTGCTAAAGCCCGTATCGCCAGCCGCCACCACACCCACAACACCAACGTCTAGTCAAGTCGAATTTACCAGCAGCAGCAGCAACAACGACAACAACAACACAAACGCCAATGCTGAGGATGTGGACGAAACAGATGCCGCGCTATTGCGCAAACGGCCCGGCGATGCTAAGCGTAAATTGTGCGCCAACGATGAAGATGCCGCCGATGATTTATTCGAGGATGCGCGCAGCACGCTCAGCAGTCACAGCAGCAGCGCTAGCAGCAGTAGTAATTGCACAAATAGTCAAGCAATGCGACTGACGTGGCCACCGCCAACCGGTGCACCTGCAGTACTGCTCTCACCCTGCACCTCGACCGAAGCATCTTGCTCATCATCAGTCTCATCCTCCTCATTGTCCGCCTCCTCGTATGCTTCATCGTCCGCCTCGACGCCGACTTCGCCGTCAGGTGCGCTGGCCAACACACAATCGCCCTTCCTCAGCTACACACCGAACAACATGCCGAAACGCCATTCACCCGCCAAACTGCGTCTCAACTTACGTTCCACCTTTGCACCCATACGACAGTCACAGTCATGCATGTCGATACGCGAAGTGGCCGACGAATCGTTGCCTGCAGCCACAGCAAACACCACGGGCCTGACGATAGCGGCGTCAGCCAGCAGCAATCACAGCATACCGTCGTCGCCGATGGCAATGGATCAGGAGAACAATGTGGTGATGGCCATGTCGACCAGCGATTGAGTACGCTAACTCTAATATACATACATGTATACGCGTACACATACGCATACACATATACATATACAACAATAAGGATTCACTAGTTATACTATGTATATGTGTAGTGCATATTAAGCCTAAAGTTTAAGAACTTAACTAAATTCAAAACAAAAAAAATTGCAAAGCGACGTAAAAGGAAAAAAAATATTACCCACAACCACCGCGGAAACAACTAGGCGAACACTTTGAGAGAAGCTGTGAATAATTCTTAAGTGTACAATTTTACGAGCGTACCTAACGATTACATACTAAGTGCATACATATGTACAGCGTTGTATACTAGCAGACCGATCGAGCGAATAAACGATCGAAGCGACACCACGCCTACTATTACTACGTAAATACTGCGAGTACATTGAAATTAAACAATTTAAATTTATAAATTATTAAAAAAAGCGGCACATTTACAATAAAAACACACAAGTACATATGTACATATATATAGCTATGTATGTGTAGTTAAAGAAAATTGTTATTTGAAATTGAAAATTTGTATACAATGCCGTGTATATTATACAGTAGTCGATATTTCTTAAACAGAACAACAACAAAACATGCATATTCTCATGCAAAATTGACAAAATTGTGTAATAAAATATTTTCTTTTCGAAAAATATTGTAACTTTTTACCTTTTGACACAACTGTATGTACATATATAAACGAAAACTTTTGAAATAAACGCAATTGAAGTAATGTTGCAGATGCATTTGCCCTCATTAAGGGCTTTCACATACACCCACATATATATGTATTAACATATAAAACGTTGTAACAATGAAAAACTATTTATTTATATTATTTTAACGATTTAAAACAATAAAGCGCTTATTTATGGACATTTTGAAAACAGCTTGTAACTAAAAAAAACACGAAATTTGTGCTGAGCAAAACGCTTACGGGTGTCGAAAAAAACATTTCTGTTGTAAATATTATATAAGCGAAAAGGTTAATTGCAAATGTTGCCACCTGTTTTGCATAATATGCATATAAATATTTTATTTTTTTCAGTTTAAATTATGTTAACTAGTAATTTTATTTTAATTTTATTATTTATAAAATTCCCTATAACACGCCGCTAAGTCATCGGGTTTACTTATGTAGCACATAAGCTTATGGTTTTACACTTTCGAAAGCTACAAAAAATGGACTCTTTTGCAAAATTAAAAAATTAAAACTTATGTCTATATAATTAAAAACCTAAAAATTGATTTTGTTGCAAATTATGTGCGTAAAAAATTAAAAAAAATTGATTAAGTTTAAATTAAAAATAGCACTTTAAATGCATAAAAGCATAACAAATTTTCACATATAATTTGCTTAGCATAATTTGTAAACAAAAAAAACTAAAAAACTATTAATAATAATAAATAGCAACAAAAACCCATGTACAAGCAGCATAAAAATATATGTATGTATATATAACCAAAACATATTTAGCAAGCGAATATTTATTTTAATGCCAAACTCTTCCTATAAAACTGTTTTAAGTTTTCTTCTTTACACACAACCACAATATAAGCGAAATTTTCAAACAGTTTCCCAAAACATAAAGCGGCCAACAACAAAATGCCTGAGAACATACATACATCACAGCAAATTTAGTTTCCCCACTACAAATATGTATCTAAATATTTGCAACAACAATACAAAAAACAAGGAAATGTATATTTTGAATAATAGCAATTTCTGTTCTTGTCACTATCACAGTTCAACTTAATTACCTATTTAAGCAAAATATACCTATGTACCAACCTATATGTATATGTATAATATAAGTTAAAATTTATTTTTAGTGCAAACTTAAATGTATATAAATGTGTATATACATATTATAAATTATTTATACACCTTATGTGAGCCGAATTAAAACAGTGAAAAATATTTACAAATTAATTAATGTACTTTCTTTTTGTCCATCATGTCTGCGAAAGCTTTGACACGCAGTCGGGAATTGATGGTATTCATGTTGTAGCAATTGTATAAGCGGTAGCTCTCATAGCAGCGTGAACATAGATATTTACGTAATAATATATGTATAATAATTTAATGTAATTTGCAATAGTCATATTCTTGCACTTACATACACATACACACTTAATTTGGTAAGCTAGACAAAAAAAAAACGTAAAATAATGCAATTCAATTGAATGTGCAGCGTAAGCATAAAAATAGAAATATATGTACAAAATAATGATTTTGAAAAGAAATTGAACATGTATTTAATTCTCAAAAAGCGTGTGGGTATATGTCTTACGATTATGTTAATGGGAGATCCATTTTTACAATAGCCGCGTGTATTGAATAATATTCTAACGAATAGACCACGTCCAATATGCAGTGAAGAAAATTTAGCAGCCTTAGCTGAAAGTGTAAAGACTAAAGTCTATGCGGACAAACGCAAAAAAAAAACATTAATACCAAAGGATTTTCATTCGAATGATAACAAACATTCTGAATGAAACTTGAAGTTCCTTTGTTTTTCCCGTAGTCTCGGATCACCCTTTATTTAGGCCCACTTTTTATAGGATTAATTAGAATTGAGACCAAGGAAACATAAGGGCTGGAGATATGTACGTATAATAGGTATGTAACAAATTAATTTCAAAGTTTCGTATATGTGGCAGGATAGCGCTTAAATCCATATGACTTTAAGTTAGCCCTCCAAAACGCGATTCGCCAATCGATGTTGATGGAGCGGACGTTCCTATACTCGACAATGAAGAAATTCGAAGAGCAATTAGCTATATGAAGAACAATAAATTGGTGGGGGCCGATGGATTGCCGGCCGAGCGAAGAACTGATAAGGGGCATATGGTCGGACAAAAGCATGAACGATGATTAGAATTTAAGTGTGCTCTGCCCAATTCACAAAACGGTAGATCCCACAATCTGTGCCAACTACTGTGGGATAAGCCTAATCAACATCGCATATAAGGTTCTATTGAGCGTATTGTATGAAAAATTAAATCTAACCGTAAAAAAATTGGTTCGACCTTATAAGTGTGGCTTCAGACCTGGAGAATCGACAACAGACCAGTTATTCACCAAGCGCCACAACTTGGAAAAGACGTCGTTTTCAAAGCTGCTTTTGACAACACAAAAATAATTAGGTATCCCAACTAACGAACACATCAAAAAAATCCGCTGACTAATATGGGAAGGCTGTCAAATAAAGGTTTTAGAGATATCAGGCGCTCTAAATACATCAGATGTACGTGTTCATCATATCATTTAAAAATATTTGTGTATGAGAACGCTTTGTACAAAGTGGGTGCCGCGCGAGCTCACTTTTGACCAAAAATAACGCCGAGTTGATGATTCAGAACAGTATTTGGAGATTTTCAAAAGTAATAAAACCGAGTTTTTGCGTCTATATGCGACAATATTCTGATGACAAATGTCCTCAATTTTCAAATGAATACTTTTTAGAAAGAACTCAACACTTCCTTTAGCCTACATATATTTAATATAAATATTTTCGAACTTCCCTTAACTACTTAGGTGACTTTATACCGTATATACCGGCCAGCATGTGAGTTGTATCATATTTTAATAATAATAATACTAAATGTAAGATAAATAAATGGGGATTGCACCGCGACCTAAGGTATATTGTGCCCTAACTTACAACGAATGATTTATCGCCAGCATATTGTTAAATTTTAATATATTGCCGGATGCTATTGACGTGATGTAGTCCTTATTTGTAAACATGGATCCAAGAATATTTATCCTGGATTTGCAGACTACTGTGTACTCAATTAGCAGGTGTTCTGGTCTAACAAGCCCTATGTACCTGAAGGTACTTCTCTGGCTTTAATTCTKGCAAGTTGCAAAAGCCACGAACTTAACTCCCCTTATTTATGTTTTTATAATTTACTACTAGGAATTCAAAAATAATTGCTGAATGCTGCAAAGTTTGTGCCAGAAAGCGTTAATACTTATTTTTCAGATTAATTTATACATAGAAAAAATCTAGTGTATTGTGATGTTTATAGATTTAAAATTTTTTGTTCCGATGATTTAACTTTTACTTTTCTTATAATTAAATGTTATTTAGGATCTGTCTTATTATTGAAATGACAGTAAATAAATTTGATGAGAAAAGCAATGATAATAAAATTATCAATTTAATATGAATGGGAGGTCCAATCGGTGGTATACATACATATAGCCTTCTTTTAAAAATTTCATTAAAAAAATTATAAAAATGCTCCTTATTTTATTCGTATCAACCCACTTCCTACTACTAAATCTTGGAAGGGGTACCATTTTGGTATCAAGCGGGAAGAAAAACGTGAACATAAACATAATCAGCTGATAACGGACTGACTTTATTATGTGCACATACACGTTAAGCAGGGTTGCACTACGCTTTTAAATTTCTTACAGTGACGGCGGATAAATAGAAATTGTATTTTATATATTAGGTTGTCAAAAAAGTCTTGCGGTATTTTCGCTGGTTGGCGCTGAGAGCGCGTAGTTCCAGTTTTATTCGTCGCATTGGGTCATGCTATACCTTTTTGGAAAGCTCATTTCACGCGCTAACACGTGTTTGATTTATCGTCGTTTCYTTTAAATCGTTCGTGAGTTATAGCGTCGCAAACATAGAGCAAAATAAAGAGAAAATACGTCATATTTTACAGTACTACTACGATAAAGGCAAAAATGCATCTCAAGCCGCCGTGCAGTTTATGGACCCGATACAGTTCCATTTCCACCGCACAACGATGGTTTCAACGTTTTTGTTCTGGTGTAGAGGTGGTCGAAGATGTGCCACGCTCCGGGAGGCCTGTTGTCGAAAATTGCGATAAAATCGCTCAATTGGTCCAAAGAGACCGGCATCGGAAAGTAGCAGCCGTAGCATCGGTCAAGAGCTGGGCATGAGTCATCAAAAAAATTTTTCTGAACAATTGAAAATTCAATAAAAATACCTCAAAAATACCGCAAGACTCTTTTTGACAAACTGGTATGTATATTCTCACCTGGTCACGGTCTAAAAAGACGATTTTTGGTCATTTAAAGACAAACAACTATACGGATATTATCAATTATTTTAAACTTTTAGGAATGCATTTATACATAATATATAAAAATAAGTAATTATTTAATGGCCTCCAGTGGTATAATGATTC